AGGGAGATGGAGGTGGCGGTGCGCGTCGTGCAGGTGGCCTGCACCCTGTGCCAGCGCGTGCAGGACTCGCTTCTCCGCCCCGGCCCCGACGCCGCCTCCGGCGGCGGCCGCGTCCACGCCAAGCTCGACCGCTCCCCCGTCACCGTCGCTGGTTCATATTGTTCTGCTGCCCTTCCATCAGTTCCCTTTCCCTTCCACGTGCTCACCCGGTCACCCTCTTCGTCGCGCGATTAGCAATGAGGATTAGGTCAACAAGGACTGCGCTGCAGTAGAAAATTGCAGGCAACGGATGTAGGATGAGTACCTGGGAGTCTCAATTCTCAATAATAAATAAATACCAGTAGAACGTGGGAAATTCCAGGATTCTCAGTCAATTACCAACATACTTAGTTTATCATTGACATGTGTTGGGTTGCATCATCATTTGGCTGAAACACGATTTTCTAATGTTTAATGAGCACAATTAGATATACTGTATTTGCACTTGGACTGGTTGATCAGTTACAGCACTAGCTTATGAACTGCAATCTAGTTGCTTGGTTGGATCATCAGAGTGAGATAGAATAATTGCTCCAGGATACCCAGGAGTAACTCATACATAAAACTAATGCTGCACACTCACTTGCTCTATGTGTTTAGGAAATCTACACCTGATAGGCTAATATCTGGGTGCAGTGTTTTATGCCCTTGTAATTTGAAATTTTTGTTTTCCTACTTTATGGCAGATTGGGGTGTTCAAGCGACAGTAAGCTGGCTGCTTTCCAGTTCCTTTCATGATGAGAACATATCTATCGTTGCCGAAGAAGATGATGAGACACTGTCTAGTAGCGATGGTGCAACTTTGCTTGAATCTGTTGTTGAGGCTGTCAATGGCTGTCTGGTTGAAGCTCCAAACTATGGGCTGAGATCCCCTGAGAAAGAGCTCGGAGCTCATGATGTTATTCAAGCCATACGGAAATGCAGCTCAACTGGAGGCCCGAAAGGAAGATTTTGGGTGCTTGATCCTGTCGACGGCACCCTTGGTTTTGTGAGAGGGGACCAATATGCTATTGCTCTAGCCTTGATTGAAGATGGAGAAGTTATACTTGGTGTTCTTGGGTGCCCAAATTATCCAATGAAGAAAGAGTGGCTCAACTATCATCAAAAGTACTACAGGTTGATGTCTAAGGTTGCTCCTCCTCCACTGGGGTCCTGGCATAAGGGTTGTGTGATGTATGCCCAGAAAGGTTGTGGCCAAGCTTGGATGCAGCCACTGGTCCATGACTTCGGTAAGCTAAATTGGCACCACCCAAGGGAGATTCAAGTATCATCCATCAGTGATCCAATCTCAGCTACGTTCTGTGAACCAGTTGAGAAAGCCAACTCAAGCCATTCCTTCACAGCAGGACTTGCTCAAAGTGTAGGATTAAGGTCAGTTCTTTCTTTCATTTCTGTCTGACCTTGCTGATATCATTTCATTAGCATGAAAATTCATTCATACATTTGTATATGGCATCCATTAGTCAATATCTGGTTTTTGTTGAATAGTACACTGCTTTTTCATCTCAAATTTAGTGCAATATTGTCCAAAATGTGACTCTTGTACAGTTGCTCAACTTGGTCTTTTGATCGTACTGTTTTATTCACATCATTTTGCTTTGTTTCCAGGAATCAACCTCTGCGCGTGTACAGCATGGTGAAATATGCTGCAATAGCACGAGGTGATGCTGAGATCTTCATGAAATTTGCAAGAGCTGGATACAAAGAGAAGATATGGGATCATGCTGCAGGGGTCGTTATCATTCAGGAGGCTGGTGGAGTGGTCACAGATGCTGGAGGCCGCCCATTGGACTTCTCAAGGGGTGTTTACCTGGAAGGTTTGGATAGAGGCATAATAGCTTGTTCCAGAGCATTGCTTCATCGTAGAATTATAGATGCTGTTGATGCGAGTTGGAACTCATCAACACTATGATCCAGAGTCCAGACAATAAGATCTTTGGAGAGAATGGCCTCGTGTTGGTCATAGCATGCTAAGGTTAGTTTTACAAATAACTGTTTCATCCTTAGATCCAATCTTTTTTCTTTTGCCTTACATTCTGATATCTCATACAGGTAACTTGGGGGATTGGTTTAAGTATTCATTGTGGTGCTGTTGTGACTTGTGACTATGAGGTGAAACAGTGCAGCATCTAGGGTAGTAATAGCTTGTCTGCTCATATAAACAAGAAGTTGTCTCGAGATTGACAAATTGTTGGCTTTTGTTCAGCGACGCCATATGTAATTTTGTATAGGTGTCTGTTGATGAAAAGCATGTGCGCTTGCTTTTTTTTTTTTTACTAATTGATCTGTTTCTTTTCAACTTATGCCTGTCAATCGTCAGGCATATTGGTTAAGACAGTGCAGCACCATTTGCTGACAATCATAATGTTAGAACCTTCAACTGATTCATCAAATGAGTTATTGTCCGCCTGTTTTCTTTCATCTACCATGTTAACACTTTCAGTTTTCGCTTTATTAAATGCTTTCCTGCATATGAATTACCAGTCCATTTCAGATCAGAAAGAACTAAAGAAGACCGGCCACATTTTCTCATGCAGATTGTGTTGTATGGATCAAACAGATTCACCACATGAGCACAACTATATACCAGATTAATAGCAAGTCTGTAGATGAGACACAATGCATGATGCTATGATAAAAAAAGTTCAGAACCATGATGCATATGCTGTGATTGGATTGGAGGACTGAGACTGTAAATGTGATTAGCTGGAGAGCTGCACCGAGCAGCACTGGCTGAAGAGCTCATTGCCGCCGTCCTCGGCGTCCTCCTGACTCATCTCGGGCCGGAAGCTGCTCCACGCCGGCACCAGACCTGGCGCAGCGCTGGTGTCGAAGCTGTGCACCAGCGAGACTGTTCTGAAGCTGTCATCGCCCGACGGCACCTGGTACCCGGCGAGGAAGTAGAGCTGCGTGCCGACGACGGCCATGGTGAGGTAGAGCCGCTGGGCTGAAGACGGGAGGCTGGCGAGCAGCGACAGGTCGGGCAGGGCGGAGTGGTCCAAGATGCTCCAGATGTTGAGCTCGCCGTCGTAGACCTCGACGTGGCCCTTCCAGCTGTTGAGGCAGTCGCCGGAGCTGAACAGCCTGTTGGCCACCGCCACGATCTGGTTCGGGGGCACGTCGAGCTGCCACATCCCCGGGAGGATCTCCCACGTGCCCCTCGCGCAGTGGAACACCTCGGCCGAGCTCCGCTCCAGCGCCGACGACTGCAGCACGGTGGCTCCCGGCGCCAGGAGGGTGGCGTCGCTGGCCGTCAGCGTGCTCTCCGCGAAGCCCCCCACGACGTGGAAGCTGCCCTGCCACGTCACGCCGACGCACTTGTAGCGCAGCGTGCTCATGTCCGGGAGCGCCGACCACTGCCCCTTCTCCGCGTCGTACACCTCGGCCGCCGCCGTGCCCCGGGCGCCGGACAGCGAGCACTGCCCGCCGGCCACGCAGATCCTGCCCCGGCACGGCGCGCACGCGAAGTCGAATCGCGGGACCAGGAGCGGCGCGCAGTGGTGCCACTCGCCCCGGCGCGCGTCGTACCGCAGCACGTCTGCCCTCACGCCGACGTCGGTGTCGTGGTGCTCGCCGGCCTCGGCACCACGCTCCCTCCGGCAGAGCCGACCGCCGATGATGTATACGGATTCGCCCAGTGCCGCCACGGCGAACCCCTTGAGTATGTGGCCGTCAGGGACGCCCGGGAGCGCGCCCACGCGGTGCCACGTGTTGGCGCCAGGCTCGTAGCACTCGAGGCTGTTGGAGCTGCCGAGCGCAAAGCACACGTATATCCTGACGCTGCCATCGACTCCGCCGGCAACATTGCCACTGCTGCCGCTGCTGCTTCCGGTGCTGGAGAAGGACGGCGAGGCGGCGACGTCGCAGTACAAGGAGCCCATGGCTCTAAACCAGGTACGAGCTGGAATCTATGCCTTCTCTTGTAATACTCATCAAGTGGTTACCATTGCGATTAGTGTAGCTGGGTTAGCCGGGGGAGTTTGCAAAGGTGCAGGCAAGTGCCTATTTATACAGGTTTGCGGTGTGGCAACTCCGTTGTGCAATTTGCCATGTGCCTTCTGGTGGACGGAGTGATCGATGCGAGGCATTGTAAGGAGCTTATTGGAAACTCCGGCCGCTCCGTGGAATTTGTCGAGCATCTAGAGCTTGTCTTCTTGCTTGCATGAACAGCGTCTGTAAGCCCGTCTATTTGTACCCATGCATAGGTTCTACCAATGTGAGGACAGATTCAGATGTTCCATAGCGAAATGTCCTTGCAACTGCAAACCAGTTGTAGTGGTTCTTTTTATAAAAATACTAGTAACAAAGAGGCATGCAATTTAGTAAGAACATTATGAGCGACCAAGGTGATAGTAGGTCTTGACCGAGAGGCCACAACCAAATTACTGGCATGGTCTATTTGGAACTTTATGTTATAATTTAGGCATTTCTGGTTAGTCCAGAGCCCACAGACTCATCTAAACTCAAAGCCTCAGAGGCTGCGGTCAATGGCCACGGTGTGCAAGGACAGCTTGAACAAAATACAGGACGATACTCAGTTTCTAGCAAGCATTGATGCATTTCCTTCGGTTCTTGTCCTTATTTTAGATTGTTGTTTACTTTAAGACAGACCCTTATTTTAGCTGACTCCTGCCACTAATAATAAGCCTTTCTCCATTTTCTATTGCTCTGTTCCTGTCTCAATAAGTCCTTGCCGTTCTCCATCAGTTTCTTTGGTCCCTCCATACTCCTTCCTCTCTTCTTGCATATATCCTTGCACATTGCCCTTGTTGTGATGGGGCCATCCAATTTCTCTGAAACTCCCCCCTTTGTTTCCCATCCACATCATTCAACAGCACAACCATCACACAGGATGATTCTGCCTCTCAGAATCAGATAATTCTTCGTCTTCTTTGTTGTGATTGTGGCCACAAGGCCCCAAGGGATGTAGGTTGCATTGATCCAATGAGAAGTGGTTAAGGATGGCGCCAATCATCCTTCACCGTGCATTGTCCTTCTCTAACCCGCGGCTTCATCGCCGTGATGTGTCACCATTACAGGTCCCGATTATGGGAATTGGATTGTACTGATGAGGAATGATTGTACTGGCCAAAAATTAATCTGAATTCAAATTTTACAGGACGCCTCGGCTGTGTCCAACAGACCTGAAGGCCTGGCATTATTGACGACAATTGCTGAGGGCACTGACTGCTGCAATCCTAGTCCTCCATTGCCAAACCACTCGGCTTTGGAGAGAAGTCTCACCAGCAAGATCCTCCGGCTGAGAGAGGTTCTGGATCTGCCATGTCAAAGTTCAAGCGACATATTGGATCAGGTTCATGCCAAAACTTGACATCATTTCCCATTTCGGCAGACATCATGATGGGCGTATAATTGCTCTCCACACTTAACGCAGTTGCTTCTGGATACCCTGGGGGTTCTGAAGATTGCATATCCCAAATGTTTATCAGGTCTATCAGGAAATCATACATCTTCTGTACGGGAGGTCTGTCATCTGAATTGAATCCCTTTATCTGTACCCTACTTGCAAAACGTCTCCTGGACACATGTTCATAAAAAAATGCTATCCCTTTTCTCCATGCTGTGTTAAATAAGTCTGATCCATCATCTACTACTGAAAAACAAACAGGGTCTTGTTCAGCTCCATAGGGTCCTCATGTTGGACCAGGATTGTGACTCAAAAAACAAGCAATTTCCAAGCTCAGGCTCTGAGAAGCAAACAATCATAGGAAGCGAGAGCTTAGATCATGTAGGTACGCAGTTTGTCTTGCCCATGTTGATACTTTGCTGTCAATATAATGACCAGAAAGCTTATGTCATCATACTGAACTGTCGCCGTCCGTCGAGTTCATTACTCGCTGTTTAAACTGGAATTGTAGGTGAGCGTGTCATTGAGATGATTGATCAGGTGACTCCAGTGGTGAAAGAAATGTTCAGTTTCATGGAAAGCTCCAGTTCTGCAACGGCAGCATCTTCATCATCAGCTTGGCCTGAGGATCTCCCAGAAAGAAGGAGCCTCCCTCCTGTTCTCTGTCGCACTAGATCTCCGGCGAATCGCGGAAGTGCCAGCCATCGTCCATCAGACGGTGACGAGGTTGCGATGCCTCGCCAAGACGGCACAGCTAGGCACACAGGACATTGCAAAGTTCGGACACCGGCGCCTGGGCTGGAGGAGGATGGGCAAACCAGCAGCAGCAGGCATGAACCACCGTCAACTCCTAGTCCTACTGTTGACTCTTTACCACTGCAGTCGACGCCGTCGTCGGTGTCCCCACATCTGTCGGCGCCGCCACCGTCCCCCATGCCCGTTGTTGGCTTGCCCATGCTTCTGCAATCCTGGGGGGTAATGCAAGATGGCCACGCCGCCGCAGCAGTTGTGCCACCTACAGTCGTCGCACAGCCTTCTGAGGCAGCGCCGACGACGGCACCGAGAGACACCACGCCCGTCAGCACCAGCATGGAAGGCTCTACGAGCTATGCATCACTTGAAGCTGGTCAGCCATCCATGGATTCACCTTCACCCAATGGGAGTACGCAGCCATTAGTGCAGGACAGCAATGCCATTGTGCCAAACGTGCCGCCGCCGCCGCCGCCACTACCGGCTCACAGAGACTGTTCGCTTTGCTGGAAAGATTTGTTGGGAGACCAAAACACCGTTCGTTCGCTGAAACAGTATGTATCATGCAACAAGCGAACAGGGCCAGAATTTCAAGAGGTGCCGTCTACGGACGAACCCGGGCGGGCAGTGCCAGACGCAGCACCTCCGCCGCCGTCTGAAGTGCAAGGAGGACCACCTGCACTGCCGGCCGCCAAGGTTTCGCCAGCGCCGCCGCCGCCGCCCCCTGGAAGCATCTCCGCAGCGGTGCGCGCTAAGAGAGCTGCGACCAAGCTGAAACGATCGACGCAGATGGGCAGCCTGTACAGACGCCTGCGTGACAGAGTGGAAGGCTCTGGCAGCACGCACGGCGGCAAGAGGCGGCAGAACGGCAAGAGGCCCCGGAGAGCGGGCGCGCCCAAGAGCGACACCGGCCAGGGCATGGCCGATGCATTGGCCGAGATGACCAAGAGGTACTTCTGCATACGCTGCCATTAGCAACCATGGATCAGTGTAGTTCATTTCCTCCGTTCCTTGGTGACGATGAATTAAAGTTTAACAATTTTTGCGCTAATAACATGCTTTATATTGAACTGAAAGGTCGGCGTACTTCCGGCAAATCGAAGAGGACGCGGAGAAGCACGCGGCAGCGATCCTGGAGCTGAAGGGCGCCATCGGCTCGTTCCAGTCCAAGGACATGGCCGAGCTGGTGAGGTTCCATCAGCACGTCGAGCAGCAGCTGGTGTCCCTGACCGACGAGACACAGGTTAGTTTCCCCTGGAGCTCAGCCATCAGCCGTGCTCCGGCAAAGCCTTTCTGACGCGCTGTCGAACTCCATGCTGCACTGCAGGTGTTGGCCAGGTTCGAGGGCTTCCCTTCCAATAAGCTGGAGGCGTTGAGGATGGCGGCCGCGCTCTATTCCAAGCTGGACGGCACCGCCTTGAGGCTCAAATGCTGGAAGCTCACCACCGGCCCCGTCTCGCCGCAGCTCGACAGAGTCGAGAGCTACTTCAACAAGGTCCGTGCACTGCTGCACTGGCCAGTGGCCACTGGAGAATGCCTGGTGGTACGAACGCTGCTCATGCGTGCGAGTGCGACTGCGTGCAGGTCAAAGACGACGTGGACATGGTGGAGCGGAACAGAGACGAGGAGACGAAGCGGCTGCAGTCCCACGGCGTCCACTTGGACTTCGGCGTGCTGGTCCGGATCAAGGAGGGCATGGTGGACCTGTCGTCCGCCTGCATGGAGCTCGCCTTGAAGGAGAGCCAGGACGCCAGAGAGACGACGACGACGACGCGTGCGCTGTGGGCAAGCAGCCATGGCGATGGGGCGTCGAGGATGCTGTGGCGGGTGTTCCAGCTGGCCTTTCGGGTGTACAGCTTCGCCGGAGGCCAGGACGAGCGGGCGGACAGGCTGACGAGCATCCTGGCGCACGAGATCGAGGCGCGGCGCCTGTAAACCTTCACGTGCGACGTGTACGTACTTCCGTGTGTACACGCGAGAAAGAGTACGTGTCATGTCATGTGCAGTCATACTGGGCCTGTTTGGAGGGTGACCCGACGGCCCGGCTGCGCCGTGAGCTGCAACTTTCCTGTTTTTGGTGCACCTGACCCAGCCTCGGAGCCTGCGCCGCACGGACCTTAAAGCAGGTTGGGCCAGGCCCCAACAAAACGAAACCCCCTTTGTTTTTTCACAGTCCAGCTCCTTTTAGCGCTCCGTGGCCTCGGTGAAATGATACGGTGATCGCCCGTCTCCTTCCCTCAACTTCTGCTCGGTCGAATCCTACAGCTCCGCCGCCACTACGGCGGGCGCGGCCTCCCTCCCCATCCCGCCGCCCACCGCCCCCAGAGCAGTCGAGGCGGCCGGCAGGAGGCCTCGCGCGCCGGCAACGCTTTCCTCCCACATCACCTCCTCCTCCGCGCCGCCCCGGACCTCCTCCTCCCCGACGCCGCCGCGCGGCCACGACGTCGCTCGCCTGAGTCCACGTCGTCCGTAGCGCCTCACTCACCCTGACGCGCTGCAAAGCCGCACGCTGCTCCCTGCGTCCTCCGACCTCTGGGCGTGGTCGCCAGGTGGGCCCGGCGCGCACATCCAACCGCTACGAGGTACTCGAGGCGGACGCGCCCCCAGGGCGCGTACCCGGTGGAGAAGAGGCCCTCGACAGCGAGCAGGTCGGGGACGTCGATGGCAAGGTGCCAGCCCTGGAGGTGCGTGGCGACATCGGCGGCGAGGAGCATGGAGAGCACGAGGGAGGCGCGGAGGAAGCTGTAGAACCTGGTGCGCAGAGCGGGGCTCTCCTCGTTCGGCACGGCGCCTGCGTCGGCATCGGTCCGCCCCGCCGCCACCCACCTCTGCGCGGCGGCGGCGATGGACAGCGCGGCGGAGGCAGCGCCCGTGATCTTCCCCGCGGCGCGGTGCGTCTTGAGCAGCAGCACCCTCTCCGCCGCCGCATCCGGCAGCCTAGGTCGCGGGTTCTCCATGGCCGCACAGGCTGCTGTCGTGGCCTCGCCGCCCCAATGCATCGCGGGCGGAATTGCGCCCCTCCACGGATGCGCGTGTAACAACATAGCACCTAGATTAAGGTCTTTGGGAAATTAGCAAATTAAGTTCTCGAGTTGAAAATTTTAAAATCACGCATGAAATGATAAAAACACCTGTGCGACCTACCTTTAGAGAAATCAAATAAATATTTAAGTTAATTTACTTAGCGCGTAAAAATGCTAATAAAAATCATAACTAGAAAAATAGGATAAGTAGTTTTAATTGTTTGTTACAAAAATAATTTTTATAAACAAAAATAAAATATAACTTGTATTTAGTACTTAAATAAAAATTAAAGTACAAGTTTAGTAGATGGAAATGTAACTTTAACTTTTAGAAAAATAAATGTTGTTAACTAGTGTTCTTGGGAGCTCAAAAAATCAAATCTAAAATTAAAATTAGATCTTTTCGTTGAATCGGTAAGAAGTTGAACTTGTGATTAAAGAGTTATTTTTGGCGAATTATATTGAGCAAAATAATTAAATAGTGCTTAAATATTTTGTTCCTATGGTTTAGTATAAAGTATGGACTATTGCATGAAGTATTTGATGGTTCAAGTTAACAAGGTTTAGACCTATTAAAAATTACGACAAAAGAGTTAATGGCTACTTAGCCCCAACTAAAACCCTTAACTTTTCTAAGTATGGAAAGATAATAGACAACGCCATTTTGACATTTAAATTCTAACTAAAATGTTTAAACACTAGATCCATGTTTTATACTGTTGGTTGCTTCTAAGTAAGCACTTGAGCATGGTATATGTTGAAGTTGTGTTAGATGTCACGTTGCCCGCTCTAAATTTGTCCAAACCTCCTTAGAACGCACTGTGAACCATGATTTGGTGCTCGATTCGCGAACCGATGTTCAGCGTGACGAACTCATGTTGGCACCTCCCTATCTCCCTCTTTGGTCGCTCTCTGGACGTAAGGTTTGCTTCGCCAGTTGGGTGTTAGTATCGGCTTTAGGTTAATGGAATTGGTTGAACTCCGGTTGTGTTGATCAGCAGCCTTTGCTTCGCTTTAAAACATGTGCACATCATCAGTTGCTCTCGCTCGGCCTGAGTCCATGGTCACCGTGCGCACACGAGCGCTGCTGGCGCCGAGCTCAAGCCGTGGCCGGGCTGTTGCCGCTTAGCCATTTCCTTCGCCGTAGTAGGTGCCGCTTGCGGCTTCCCCGCCCGTTGGCGATCTACGCTGGGCGCCTCTACCTGATGCGCCTTCCTTCGCCGCATGAGCGTGCACGCTTTCGAGTGGTCGCCACCGTGCCGCATGCAGGGTTGAGTCAAGGCTGCGACTATCATCGCTCGACTAACATGGCGCTTCGCCCGCCCCCGATTCAACTACCGTGTTGAGCCTTCGGGCATGTGCCACTGCCGCAATGTTCGGGTCGACTGACCCCGGTCACAGTGGCGATGGTGATGCCTCTCTGCCTCACTTTGCCTCCGCTAGCTGAAGCCGGTGAGCCCCACTCGGGTCCTGCCACACATTCCAAGCGCTTCGCGCTAAGCCTCCATATCTCGTTATCTGGGCGCACGTGCTGGTGTTGCCACCATCGATCGGAACCACCCCATCTTAACCTAATCGGTCTCGCTCGTGTGACCTCTCCACGACCGCACCATGCGTAGGGCCACCGCTCCTTCTTCCCTCCTAGCATCAGCGGGCTTCGCCGCATAATTCCTCACTCCAGTGGATAGCTGTGGTAGAACCGCCCGAAATAGCACACTTACGGAGGCGCTCGTCTTCCACCAGACACTAAGCACCCCGAAAGCAAGCTACAGCGGCGGTGTCCATCGGGCACACCCCAAGGGAGAACCCGAAAGATCCACATTTTTCCCAAGGATCTAATAATGAGAACGAGTTACAATACCAGTCCATTTCATACATCAGAGTTTCTTAAAAAGTACATTATTACAATGCCAAATACTAGAGTGCGGAATGAGAAACAGCGGAATTTAAAAATAACATCTAGCGATAAGGGGCGAGGATCCGTCTGAGCCCACCAGAAGAATCCTCCACACAAAGGTACTCTTTAAGCATCACCTGCAACAGCGGTAAATAAACCCTGAGTACACAAATATACTCACAAGACTTATCCGACTAGTGGAAATAATTTATGACTTCAAGGAATATGATAGGCTTTATAGTTTGCTGGTTTTCTTTAGCAGAAAGCAACACTAATAGTGAGTCCTTATTTATGTCTTATTATTAGCCGTATTAAGTTATCATCTAGCCAGTCTATATAAGCATCTGTTCTACTTTCAAGCAAGAGTTGAGCAAGCAGTTCCATTTCTTCTCCTTTCAACTTTCAGTTCTTACTACGATGCTAAACCACAGACAAGCCATACCGGATCACTCGGCGATTCGTGAATCAATGTGCCCAGCTGGGTGCCCCAAAAACACATGCCCCGCTTGTACCCCAGGCACAAGCAGGACTAACCCATCACTCTCCTATCCCGGGTGTCTAGGTCCCCGTCCAAACTTGGACTCTAAGCCCCCACTCCTGAGTCCCGGATTCAGTGTGGTGCAAGGACCTCCACCATCCCCGCCCCCAATCAGTCGGTCCGAAAAGAGCCGAATCCGCGACAAGAGAGCAACAAGTCTTCCCTGCGCCCATACTCAAGTATGCGCTCGGGACAATATATCTGTGACTTGCCTAGAGTCATATGCAATGATCGGTCCTTAATCGACACAGACAGGGAAAAAGTGTAACCGAGCTATGCCCTGTTGGCCGCAGGACACAACCCCTTACACCCACCAATACCCAAACCATATCCCTGCCCGGTCACCAGTTACCTTTACCATTTTTATCATGAGTGATCATATTTATCACCTACTTGCGAGTAACGACAAGTTACTCACGCTATCGATATCCTGAGCATAACAGCTACTCGACCTGTACTAGTAGGACTCATAGGTAGATATATTTATGCACGTAGTTTCCATAAAATACCTGTAATATAAATGCACATCATATACATATTTAGTGATCAGTAAAAATAGGGGTTATGCACCGGGGTTTGCCTTCATCGGGCACGGTGTCAGCAAAGTCAGTGACGGGCGGCTCCGAAACGTCCTCCTACATGAGGATCTCCTCCTCGTACTCTTCGACGACTTCATCGTACTCCTGCTCATCGAAGGTCATGATCTCCAGTGGCTTGTTCTCTATATGCATGCAGTGATGATGATGCAATTAATACTACTATTTTGGCAACAACTTTTAAAATAAAAACACGCTTATCATGCTAACAAGCTAGCTCTACTGATCTCACACCAACTAATTTCTTAAATTATTTCATATGCTTTCAAATAAGGTATGTTAGCTACCTTAATAAATTATCTATTCAGAGGCTACAAAAATTACAGAGAGCATCTAATATTATCATGAGTCCGCTGTAAAATTTCCAGGGCTAGCATTTCTACCCATGCATCACAAAAAGTCATTCCCTAAATAACTATAATAATAACAAGCAACCTAGAATTAATAAGTAACCTTAAAACATCGCAGAACCATACGAACAAAATACACAAACAGATAGATCAAGAATTTAGGAATCTAACAAAATTTATTTCACAATAAATAAGTAAATTCAAATGAGCTCTAGAGATGAAGAAAATGATATGGATGGGTAGAGAGTGATTTTAGATGAATTTAGGAAAAAGAATCAATAGAATCGGAGTTCGTATGAGGGAGATATTGATTGCGCAAGGTGGCTATTTAATTAATTCCGAAAATAAAAATGATATTATTGGAGGAGGCTAATAATGCAAATGGGACTTGTTGACTTGCACATGGCTGTGGGTCTTTGGTCCATGACGTGATGAGGGGGTGTGCTGGTTCATTTATGCAAGTCAAGGAATTAAAGGAGGAGGAGACCACGGGTCAAGGAAATAACGAAGAAGGAGAAGATCATTTGTAGA